ATTGTGTTTTCTGCAGCCCAGAGTTGGGAGCAGTCAAACTTTCTATTCCTAGTAAGGAGGCAGAAATTTATTCAGGACTGAGAGAGGGGATTCAAGCACACTGTACCAGGAGAGAACGTGCCCAAGGGCTACTACCCCAGAAAGCAGTGTGGGCCTGACACAGGTCGGCCGGCAACCCAGATGAAAGTCCAGAACGAGGAAGACCACATCTGAGGGACAGAGGAGACTTGTTTCAGCTGATGCCAACTTGCTCAGATCCCTCACTAGATCAAAGTCCCTTCACCTCTTATCCCCCCACATCCCCTCCCCCAAAGAGAGAGGGGGGAGAGGGGAGGGAGGAGGGGGAGTGGGGAGAGAGAGAGAAACACAATACAGAAGCAGTGCCCTTGGAGATAGAGGCCTTCCCAAAGCCAGAAATTGTGAAAACTCTTCCTGAGCTGAAAAGCTCTGCAATGACTGGATTTATTCTGAATTCACTAAGATACTAAGATTATGCTTCCTGCCATCAGATGTATTAGTAATGCAAAGAGAAATTTAGCTGAGGAAGATTTCCTTTTCAAATACTAGAGTCTACAGTTTGGAAATTACATGCCATCCTCAGCCTTTCTCATTTGCAGGGGGTGAAATTTGACACACTGCACAGTAGAGTTTACCCAGAGTCAGGGATTGGAAAGCGAAGCGCTAGGTCTGGGTAGCAGAACAGGCAGGAAGGAATAATATCTTTAATAATGATTTAACTGAGCAAAACTAGTAGTTAATTCCCTTAGGTACAGCCACAGTATTCAACTGTAGAAACTCAAATTAAACAAACTGAGCGAGACTAATTAGAAAAAATTTAAAAATGCATGATTTAAATGTAAGACCCCTTGTTACAAATTGCAGGAGATGCGTTAGGAGGTTGTGACGTGAGGGATTCTGGATTCCAGGAAGGGCATCACCGACACTATCCTGGGGCCAGGGCAGGGAGAACAGCAAGCCCTGGAAAGGTGTGAGGCGTTGAGATGACAGTCATAGGTGAAAAAGCCAGTACTTAGTAGGTAGAATAAGGTCTTAGAAATGAGTTGCCAACCGAAATGTAGTGAAAACAAGCACAGTCTACCTAAGTCTTAATTTGAGCTCTGCAAAAGCAGTGTGAGATAATTGGGACGTGCACTGAGTTGAAATTTGCTTTTGTTATATTAATGGAGGAAGAGTGTGTTAAGAAAATTAACAGTAAGACAGCATGGCAGGGAGGGTGTACAAACAAAGGGAACAAACTGTGTCCAATCACCCTGAAGCACTTAGAAGAAACCATTAACGTATAAACAATAGACTAATCACATATCACTGGTAACTACCCACGGAAGGAGGCACTACAAAAGATTGTTATTATGTGATATTTAACAGTCTTGGTTCCGTTTCTCCCCTCACCTATGAGTAATAAAACCAAGTTTTATTCACATTATTTTGTAATTAAGGTAATTCACTAATTCAGACAGGTCTCCCTTCCAGTTACTTCTAATTAGGTTTCTCATTATTAAGAATCAGAGATTCAGGAAACTGCTGGTGAATTCACCGGCAAAATTAAGGGCTTTCTGTGTGAAGAATTTTGTATTTGCCTTGCATTTGGACAGCCTTATATTCAGATACCTCATTCATTTTCTGACAAATGGGTATTGGATTTGTCTAATACCCATTTTTCAGTTCCCAGAATCTACCAGAAGTTTTCAAGCTAGTTCCCATTCCCTTGAAAACTTCCGGTAGATTTCTTGAAGCCCATATAATCCCTTAATTCCAAGGTCTAGGTCTTGAGAAGGTGAGCTGGATGTGATCTTGAAAGTACAAGAAATTGGAAACTGTGAAGGGAGCCAGGGGCTGAGCTGAGAATCTTGAACCCAAGACCACATAGGGCTAGTTACGCAAGGCCCATGTAGAGGATGGGATGGGTGAACCCACTCCAGACCTCCCTGCTCATTTCCAAGAGCCTAACATGCTTAGGAAGGCAGAGTAGGTTAGAGTGGTGGGAGCAGAAGCTAAAATTCTTCTGGGAGGTGGGAGGAAGGAACAGGCTCTAAGCCTGTGAAGGAAGTGCCAGTAAGATCTAGACAGGGATGTTTTGTCTCCTTCCGAAAGGGCTTTGGGGTTCAGAGGATAAGAACTAGAATGTGAGATGGGAAACTAAGTCAGAAGCCCAGGTATGTGGACTGAGCAAGACAGCTGAGACAAGACAAGGCTTCTGTGTGCTACAGATGGATTCCCCAAGGCTAGACCACCTACTGGTACCAGCTCATGGTGCCTCAGCTAATTCCATACCCCAGCCACTGGAATCTAGAACTGACCTGGTCTCATTGTCTTTGAAATGGATTAGGGACAAATTGAACAGGCTTGCAGACAGGGACCTGGGTGAGAATAGAGACCGGGCAGGGTAGGGGCTGAGGGGTGGAATCGGGGTTAATGAGAGCCCCCACCCATCTCTGTCACAGTGAATACAAGCTTTATCATGCTTATTTGACAAAATGTTGGTAGTTGACAGAAAAAAAAACACACCACACTTTAAGTCAATGTTTGTTGAGTATGACTAGCGTAGTGGTAGGTCCTGGGAGAGAATATGAAACAAATATAAGGCATTCCTTTTACTCAAGGAGCTTGAGGACTCTAACACGTTCACCCAACACATATGGAAACAGTAGTTTAAGACAGAGTTGCATTCAGTCACAAGAAGGGAGGTATAGTCTGTGACACTAATGAAGCTCAGGGAGGGGTGAGTCAAGGAGGGCTTCATGGAAGAAGCAACCCAAGCTGAGCTTTAAAGAGTGGATAAAATTGAGATAAATAGATGAAGATGGAAGGCAGGTCCAGGGGGAAAGATACACCATGGATTGTGAGAATTAGATGCTTCACAGAAAGTCACTTGCTAAGTCAGTCTTGCTAAGACTCTTGGCACCAAGAATGCCCAAAACAAATGAGATGTATGGTTGTTGCTATTACTGTTATTTTTGTGACTTTTACTGTTGTTGCTATTTTTGTTTTTATGCTTTTTTTTTTTAGTGCTTTTAATAAAGGCAATGAGGATTAAAGGGATACATTTGGGAGACAGCAAAAGGGGCATGGTTTTGAACTTCTTCTCCAGAAGTATGTCGGATAAAATGAATTGCAGTGAACAAGGGCGTGCATCAGAACTATTTCTGTACGAACAATGCTACCAAATTGCTTGTGCTCAAAGGGGATCATAGAAAAAAGTTACTAAGAAATGTAAGCTAAGTTCTCACAAATACCACCACTCATCACTGTGTAACTAATAATCACAGTGTTTGTCAATACATGTCTCTCAAATAATGAATCTGAGCATTCTAAGCTCCTGGCCAGACACAATTCCTCTCTGCTTTTCTCTTTGTCCAGTGGTCCAGCTGTTTTGCTGCAAATGTATCAATAGGAATCAGATAAAGACGCTGTGATTCTCTTTAGTGTCTGGTGATAAGGTTGCTAGGATAGAGAGGACAAACACTTATAGAGAGCAAGGCAGGATTTGTTTGTTCGCATGTTCCAAACATCCCTGTAGGTGCTGTATTCAAAAAATGGCAAATGGGACTTCAGCTGAGATTGATTCTTGCCTGAGTCTCAGAATAACCACCTTATTGCTGATTATTATCCCCTTTGCAATGGAGGGCCTGTCTCCATTCTGCTTGCTGTTGTGTTCTAAGAATATCAAAGAAGCCACTCAGGCAGCAATACTGAGTGGAGTCCTGTGCTTCCTGGGTGCACAAAGCCTGACAAGACAGACTCTCTGGGTCTGCAGGCTGATTTTATAGAGGGGATTATTCAGTCATCATTAAGTGGCAACAAACTCTAATTTCACTTTCCATGCTACATCGTGGAGCTGTGCAGCTGGGCTATGTGTATGCATTAGGAGGTGATTCCAAGGGACGGGGTTTCACTGCAGCCATTGGAGGAGTGATTTGCTCAGGCTCTGCTTTGCTACAGGGTCTTTAAAGCCCTTGAAGTGTAAGTTTGACTCCTGGGACAGCTCTCTACTGAAAGTTTTATTCTGAATATTCACAAATATTCACACACTTCCGGTAGGGAGTTGGATGTTACAGTAATGCTTCCTCGTTGTGTAAAAACCAAGTCATTTCAAGAACATACAGAGGATTAACCACAACAGCAAAACCCAATAAAGCAACAACTAGAATCTTCTCAAAGTATTTTTTTCTTTAGTGAAAGGGACCAGTTTGAGACCTGTGAATTATTGCAATGACTAAACATATCATTAGGCAGGGAGTGAAATAACCTGAAAGCCAAGCATTCTGATGCAAGAAGCAGGAAACTGTTGTTTTCCCAGATGCGTGGTTCATTTCTGTCCACAAGATCTTATTGCAGAATAGGAAACAATACAGTATTAGCTTAATGAGGATCCTTCCTCAGCGTGGCCCTTGGATACTTTGAAGGTGAAACTCACCAAACTCTGTCTTCTAGGAGGTAACTTCTTGCAAATAGTGGCATCATCAGCTACCCTCAAAGAAATCTGCTTCTCACTGATGTTTAATGAAAAGGATCATCAAAGAAAGTGTCGTCCTTCCTGCCTTACTCAATGCTGTTTCTCATCACATCAGTCACCGCCCTGGTGACTGTGAGCTTTCCACACCCTTGGGGTTCCTAGCAAAAAACTCACAGCTCTAACCCCTACTAGAAACAGACATTTCAAGTACTGCTACAGGATTAATTAAAAGTGCTTTCACCTGAGGAAAGGGGACGTATCATCCACTCATAAATTTTACTCATGATTCACACATTTCCAGCAGCATCAGAAAGAAAAACACCACCTGTATTCATAAGACGCTATAATCTAGGTCTCTGCACACTAAAGCTTGTTGCTTTAGCACTTCACACTTTTCAAAATCCTTTTTAGTAAAGAATATAAACAATACTCATTCACGATACTGGCTAGGATACTTTGACACTCTTAAGTTCCACCAGTCTCATTATTATAAGTCAGTGTTCAGAGTCAAAGGCAGGAAACTTACCTTAAAGGAATGGTAGAAGGAGCCCCATTCCTTTCCTTCCACCACTTCAGTAAAAGTCCCTGTTTCAGTGCAAGCCACTGGGGAAGAATCCAGCATCTGCATGGTCCCATTGGAATCGAGGCTGCTCTCTGTGAAGTTGGCTGGCATGGCTCAGGCAGGGTTGAACCTTTCTGTCCCTGATCCTGCAGCCGAGTGAGGGTGTCCAGCTCGCCTCCTGAGAGCTGGGCAGCAGCTGCAGCTCTGCTGAGCAGAGGCACAGAGCCCTCCCTGAACCCACCTCACTGAAGAGCTCTGCCTGATGACGGGGAGGATCTACGTGCTGCTTGCTCCTTAGCAATTACCACTGGGTAACCAGCACAGCACAACCCTCATCATCCCACAGTCCCACCCACGGACGGGGCCCCACCCCAAAAGCAAAGTGGAGCCCCCCACAGCCATCGATGTGGCTCCCTGGATGGGACCCCTGCTCTGTTGTGCTTTTCCTGACTTCCACAGCAGACCCCCACTTCCGCTGTAGCTTCAACAATACAGAAATTTGGACTAATCGGTAGGTGCAAGAACTCCGGTCATGTTTCCACTTCTGAAATCAAATCATAATTATGCATTTATTTCAGCTGAGGTTGCTTTCTGACTTAAAGATCACTTTGTGATCTACTCTGTCATGTACTTTTATTTCCGTAAATATAGGCAAATACTACATTTGTATTTCACAACCATAATTCTTTCTAGGTGTTCACAGGGCAATTCTCAGAAAAGCATGAGGTCTGTGTTAGTCAATAAGCCACAAACACCTCGTGATATGACTGGGAGGAGCCTGGTGAAGGCTCTTATTGCCTTCAGTATATTCACCTGTTTCTACCTAGGACCAATACTCAGGGCGAGGGTAGAAAGGAGGTAGTATAGCATCGTGGGCACCACAGACAAGGCTAGGCGAGGATATTAAGAGCTGCTCCTGTTTCACACACACACACACACACACACACACACACACACACACCCTACAAAGCACATTTACACATTCTTTCATTCAATTTCCAAACAACCCCATGAGATAGGCAAGGAATGTATCTTTATGTTCTCCCTTATGCTAGCGGAGAGTGGCTCCAACAGGTGAAATGACTTGCCCAAGATCCCACAGCTGCTGGTGTAAATGAGCTGATAACCCATCTCCAGAATTTCCTAGACAGTGGTGCTTTTAGTGTAACAGATTAGTTTGCATCAAATCTCAAATGCCTATGGGGCATGAAGGTAACATGAATGAGGGTAGCAGGCCAGGTCTAGAACAATAGGAACTAAGCTGCTTATAAGACAACCAAGCATAATACCTGATTCCTTAAGCTGAAAGCACTCTGTGAGCCAAACAGATCCAGTCACTGGTTTGTGACAACTGGTATAAGAGGTAGCAGGTTTAGAGGCCACCATTAAAGAACCTGGTCCTATGAGATCTCCTGGGAAAGCTTTATTATGAACCATCCAGCCCCAAGGAGGGCACAGTGCTCTAGCAATGAGAAGGCATTAAGTTTATAATGAAGGGCAGCAAACAGAAGGGAGTTATGCAGAAAACTGGATAAGCTGTGGGTTCTTAAATGGTTAAAACAGGACAACAACTCACTAGCAAAACAAGTGCAGCATATTCCAGCTAACAAATAAGCATGAAAATATGTTCAACCATATTAACAATTAAGGAAAATAAAACAGTAAGAATTTTTACCTATCAGCATAGTAAAAGCTAGTGTATGGCTATTCCCAAGTGGTGACAAGATTGAAGGGAAATGGCTGTGCATCTTCTGTGAGAGTTAGTTGACATGGTAATTTTGAAGAGCAATTCAGCAGTATTTAGTAAAGCTGGAATTACATATCCTCTAATGCACTGTTCCATTTCTAGATCCTAATAATTTTTCATCTCTATCTGGGTTACTTACATGTGCTCAATTCACAGAAATTCTTTGCACTGCAAACTTAAAACACATGCACTTTTCTGTAGGTATGTTTTACTTCAAGAAAATGTTTATAAGACAAAATCTGTGAGGAACTTTTGAAAGAAGGTAGAAGCTGGTTAGGTCACAGTGTGTAGGCGCAGAGTGAGGGAAAGTGGCAGCGTCCATGGACAGAGAATAGGTGGGGAGGGAGAGCTTTCTGGTCGTGTCCTTTTCTTTCCATTCATGATTCAGGTAGATCATTGTTTAACCTGTGGCTACCCAAGAGAAACATTTATGTATCTGTACAAGCAGACATGGAAAGAGATGCCTTTCCAACTCATTAAAGAAACATATCAGGAGCAACCTGAATATTCATAATGTCAAAATCAGTGAATCATCCCAAACTGGAAACCACCCAAATGTCCATCAACTGGATGAATAAATTTTCATGTAGTCACACAATGCAATGAGAAAATGATCTGCAGCCAAAAATAACATAAATGGAACTTACAAACATTAAGCAAAATAATAAATGTTTGTTTTCATTTTTATAAAGTATAACTATGCTTGTTACAATACAGTGGAATATTATACAGTAGTTAAAAGAAATAGCTGTGTACAAGATGACAAACTAACATGGTATAATGTTTAACTTTATGTTTCAGCTTGACAAGGCCATGGAATGCCCAAATAGTTAAACATTATTCTGAGTGTGTCTGTGAGGGTGGCTCTGAATGAGATTACATTTGAATTGGCAGACTGAGTAAAGCAGATTGCCCTCCTTAAGGTGAATGGATCTTATCCATTCAATCAAAGGCCTGAATAGAATAAATAGGGTAATTCTTCTGTGAAAAAGGGAGAAATCCCCCTGTCTGACTACTTTGAGCTGGGACATTGTTTTCTTTTTTTCTGGTTTTTGGACTTGAACTAAAACATCAGTTCTTCTTGAGTCTTGAGCATGCTGGCTTTCAGACTGGAAACATACCACCAGCTCTCCTGGTTCTCTGGCCTTTATACTCAGACTGGAACTACACATCAGCTCTCCTGGGTCTTCAGCTTGCTGCTTGTAGGTCTTGGAACTTCTTAGTCTCTTTTAATTGTGTAAATGATTATTTCATATTGTATTCCTTATAAGACATTTCTCTCTCCCCTCCCTACACACACACACACACACACACACACACACACACACACAGACGTACACATGCATCTCCTATTGCTTCTGTTTCTCTGTAGAACTAATACACATTCTCACCTGAACTCATTTGTAGAAATTCTATAAAAATGAGGGCAGCATTGATGAAATGCAGGACTTAAAGAAAAACCAGAAGACATTTGCTAGAATGGCTTAAATGATAAAGATGGAATATACTACCTGTTGGTGAGGATGTGGAGGAAAAACTAGCATACCCTACTGTAGTGATTCAACTTGGCACAAGCCCCTTTAAAAAAACTGCTCAGTAATATCGTCTACTGCAGAATGTATGCATGCTCTATGACCTAGCAGTTTCACTGCTCAGAAAATACCCAACACAAATCAGCACACATATTAACCAAAAAATGTAACAATCAATATGGCAGTTCTGTTTGTAATAGCCTCCAACTAGAAGCTACCTAAGTGTCCTTCAATAGTAAAATAAAAAAAATAAATTGTGGTATATTCACACAATGAAAAACATACACTAATGCAAATGAATGATGCTGAGACGCTGTTCATTGATTGGACTGATAGGAACCTGAAGGTGTTCCACTTGTGAAAATGCATTGAGCTTTATACACTTATAATTTTTGCATTCTTCCGTGTGTATGTTATACAAGCTTATTTTTTTAAAACTGTGAGAAAATCCTGGAGGTGGATTAGAAGCTGACTGAGTCACGTTTGATAAAGATGGGAGCTTGGATGGGGAAATGGCAACTTAGAGTAGGCAAAGGCAACATGCTATGAACAGTAGATAGGCTGAGAGAGAAGTCTTTTTAGTTGTGTCTTTTTCTGCACACATTGTCCAGGTGGCTCATTGCTTGGCCTATGGTTACACACAGCAGAAACTCTGGGGCCTGGCCTGGAGATGGGGGCTGGGGGTGCACTGCAGGAGCAGGGGAGCAGATCGCAACACATACAGATGGGCAGCCTGGCACTGGGTATTTCTTCTTGTCCATCTGTATTAGGTTGAAATCAAGGTGTTGGTTGGGATTGGGGACTCATCACAGGGTCAACTGGGGAAGGATCTACTTCTAGGTCCTCAGAATTGTTGGCAGAATTCATTTCCTATGACTATGGAACTCAGGGCAGCTTGTCTCTTCAAAGCCAGCAAAGCGGGGAGAGATTCTAACAAGATGAGTACAACACTCTTATGTAATTACACGCACGTCATTGTATATGTCCTGTTACCATTGGCGGAAAGCAAGTCACATAGTCTGCTCACACTCAAGAGAAGAGGTTTATAGAAAAGCATGAAAACCAGGTGTCAGGTATTATGGGGAGGAAGTCACCTTAAAGTCTATCCTCCACACCACTCCATGGGCTAGATGTTTACAAGTGAAGAGGCAGCTTGTGAAAAAGAAGACCCAGGAAGCCCAAGCATGGCAGTTCACAACCATAATCACAGCGCTTTGGGAGGCCAAAGTGTGGGGATCACTTAAGCCCAGGAGTTCAAGACCAGCCTGGGCAACATACATCCCATTTCTACAAAAAAGTAAAAGGAATTAGCTGGACGTGGTGGTGTGCGCCTGTGATCCCAGCTACTCAGGAAGCTGATTACTTGAGTCCAGAAGGTTGAGGCTGCAGTGAGGTGTGATGGCACCACTGTACTCCATCTGGAATGACCTGTGATTCTGTCTCAAAACAAACAAACAAACAAACAAACAAGAAGACCAAGGAAGAATGGAGCTAAGTATTTAAGGCATACCAGCAGGAAATACTGAGTATAAAAGCAAATAGCTGGGAAAACTACTAAATAGATGTTTTGAATGACTAGAGAAAAGAATGAATGAGAAAAAAAGATGAAAAACTCTGAGAAGATATTAAAAGTGACAATATTATAAAAAAAGGGGACAAATAAGGAATATGTGCAATGAATATAGATGTCTGAGCATCTGTATACCAAGTCCCAGTGGGAGAGTTAAAAATCAATGGAAGAGATTGGAAAACAAAATTTATGAAACAGTTTTATTTATAATCCACAAAAATTCCCAAAATTTTGACATGTAAAATTCTTAAGAATAGATTTACAAAAGACAGAAAATATCTCTATAAAACATAGCAGAAGGAAATGAATAAAGACACGAGGAAATGAAGAATACCAGTTCAGGGATTGGAGGACTTGGGATTGCTAGAGATGTCACTCTTTCCCAAATTGATCTATAAACTCAGGAAAATTCCACTAACAATCAAGCCAAGATTTTTAGTATAAATTAAGCTGATAT